AGGTACTGTAATTACCTACAGATTACTCTAGAAAGAGTGAGAGTGACCCAAATCAAGAGTCAGCAAAAGGTAACCTGTTAGCTAATTCTGGTGGCTTCCTGTTTTTATAAATGAGGTTTTACTGTAATATGGCTACACTCATTCATGTATATATCATCCTCTATCTTCTCGCTTACCTGTATAGAGCAGTTGTAGCTGAGACTATATGGCTTACAAAGTGTAAAGATCTCCATTGAGTTTGCCTGCCTCTGGTCTGGGGGACTGGCATTTTCTATTTGCACTCACTACTCCAATGGCTAGAAACCATGTTGAAATCTTCATGTCTGGCCCCTTTTTGTCTTTTGATCTCCAGAGGCTGAATTTAGCAGCCTATCGGCCTCTCTACTTGGATGTTATATGCGCATCTTAATAGGTTCCAAAGTAACCTTGCCTTCTTTCCATTTAAGCATATGCTTCTGTGTTTAGCACAGTGACTGGCACCGCTGAGACCCCCACATCAGGAACCTGGGTGTTGTCTTAGCTTCTGTCCTCTTCCCCACCTCCCAGGTCCCTTGTCTTAACTTGTTGATTTTGCCTTTTAAATCTCTCTTCCCACCACATCTACCTCTCCATCATAGCCAACGCTCTCCTCAGCCAAACCCTGACCACCTTCTGCCTGAACCCCTCTGACCACTCTAGCTGGAGGACCTGCTAAAGGGTGTCTCTTCGTGAGGTCTGAGGAAATAGGACACAGCCCTCCAGAAGGGATCTGTGTCCACCAAACAGATCATTTTCTATTTTTTTGTGTGTGGTTTTTATTTTAATAAGGTTGTTAGGTTCTATTTAAGAACAGATTAAGATTAATAATCTCAAATACATGTATTTACTTTAAAAGCCTACAAAACACTTTCATGTTCTTGATATCATTTGATTCTTAAATCCTATGGGGAGAGGTTTTATAATTACCTGTATTCATACATACAAAGGGCTAAAAATTTACCTACAGTCATCTGTTTTGGAACTGTAATTTAGACCCAAGTCCTGACTCTGTTATGTATGTGTTTATTTCATTCCTTTCTTTCTTCTTTTTTAAAGATTCTTCCTCTTGAAGTATCTGAAGTTCAGCTTTCTTTTCCCATGATCGCTAGAAATCCACCAGGTAATGCTTTATATGTCTTGCATTCTCACTATGAAGATCAGTATTTTAAAAAAATGACAGCAACTTATTATTTATGGCACTATCTTTCGTTACTAAGGAAGACAGACCAAACAATTCCCTATTGTTACGGGTGCTACTTTGACTTGACAGCTGGGAAAGTCTGATAGGCAGTTTATTTACTTAGCCATTTAACCAAATAAATGTTTTCATTTTTCTTTCATCTCCTCAAAAGCTAGCATTTCGCCCTTAAAATTGCTCCAGCAACACATCAGTGAAGTATAAATTACCTGCCATTCCCACACCAGCCATTACAATATTATTTTAGGTTTTTTTTTTTTTTTTTTTTTTCCCCCTTTTGCCCTTGTTTTTAAAACACAGTTTATATGTCTTGCATTCTCACTATGAAGATCAGTATTTTAAAAAAATGACAGCAACTTATTATTTATGGCACTATCTTTCGTTACTAAGGAAGACAGACCAAACAATTCCCTATTGTTACGGGTGCTACTTTGACTTGACAGCTGGGAAAGTCTGATAGGCAGTTTATTTACTTAGCCATTTAACCAAATAAATGTTTTCATTTTTCTTTCATCTCCTCAAAAGCTAGCATTTCGCCCTTAAAATTGCTCCAGCAACACATCAGTGAAGTATAAATTACCTGCCATTCCCACACCAGCCATTACAATATTATTTTAGGTTTTTTTTTGTTTTTTTTTTTTTGCCCCTGTTGACCTAGTCTTTCAAAGACACGTGACTCTCCCAGATGGGAGGGTATAGGGGATAGAGTGAAATAATTGAAGATATTTTCCTTTATTGCTGAAACAGAAATGCTGTTTGAGCTTGGTCCTGAGGCTTCCACCTGCAGGGCTTGAGTCCATTTCCTCCTAACCACGGTGCGATATGGCTTCAACTTATCAACAGATGTCATCCCTACTTACTCAGAACTGTGTGGGTTTTTCTAATAAAAAACAGCTGGGCAGAATGGTTGCAAGGGTGATAAGAAGGACGGGACTCTTGCTTTTTGACTGTACAAAGGCAGAGGGGAACGTAAAGTCACGGACATAACTATCCCTGCTCGGTATCCCTTTCCCAAATGTCTAGAAGGGCACTAAGAAATTGCAGTCAGTAAATTTCCAGTTGGATGGATGACAGAATGGGATGAGACAGAAAGATCCAATGTGGCCTGTGAGGCTGTTGATGAAGAAACCCAGAATGGCTCATCTGGACTTCCCCTGCGGGTGTCGTACAAGGCTGGCATCTGCCTCTTGGCATGCAATTTCTGATAAAGAATTGTGAAATGGCAAGGCTAGCTTTCAAGGGGAGAAAAGTGCTTCAGTGAAGCCCTCCTCTAGCACTTGGATATACTGATCAGGATTTACATGGGAATCCAAGCCTGCTTATTTTTTTGGAAGTGAGTAGCCTGTGAGGACCAAACTGGGCTTATTCTCAATATAGGACAGCATAAGCCAGAGAACTAAGAAGCAGGGCTTTTCTTTCCCAAAGCTGTTTTTGATGCATATTGAAAATCAATGACCTAAAGTTAGAAAGTATAAAGCAAAACCTCCCAGTATTATTTAACAAAAGGGCTGAATGTATGAAGCCTAAGGTAGTAGGGAACAAATCTTTTACTGAGCATGTGTAATGACAGTGATGATGACAGGGCCAGGAGGATATGATGGTCATGGTGGGGATGGTAGCAGCTAACTTTTATCAGGTGCCTCCTAAGTGCCAGGCACTGTGCTAAGACCGTCACATAAATCACTTCATTTAGTCTATGCAACAGCCCCATGTCCATGAGATGGATGCTATTTCTATTCCTGTTTTTCAAATTAAGAAAATAAAATAGAGAACAATGATGAAATCTCAGCAGTATGGCATAGCCAGGAAGTGGTAGAACCAGGTTCCTATCTCAGATGAAGTTACTCCAGAACCCAGATTTTCTTTTAAGCTGAGTTCTCAGTTAAGTATTCAGGGCCTGACTCCATGCTATAAGTTCGATATATGCCATTGCAGTTAATATTATGACTAATATAAGCCCCTTCTAGCAGAGGAAAAACCCAAGACTCAAAATACATTACGGTTTTTTGCCCATGATTTCCTGCTAGGAAGTAGCTGAACAAGGATTTGAACTCTAATTCCAAATCCTGAGCTCTTCCTACCATACCATGCTATGCCCACTTAAAACTCGGCCACGGTTTGTGGTGCTGGGTGGAGCGCTGAACGTGGAACAGACCAGAGTCCCATGAAACAGTTAGGCTTGTATGACCATCTCAAGCTGAACAGGCTCATAAAGATCAGGCTTTGATACATTGATCTGCAAATGGTGTAAGTCGTCTTTGTTCTCTAACAGAACTTCAATTTTAGGGTGATGTTTGCTGCTATCCTGATGAATGGCTCTTGTCACCTCTAGTTCATTCATCAGATTTTTCAAGGCAAGATTGAGCACGTGAAATACAACATATGCAAAAGGTAGAAAACCTCTTGGGGAACCATCCCACGGAGTCTGTCCATAATCCTCACCTTTCCACTTCCCTGGAGCATTTGCTTTGCCTTTAATAGGCCAGCTCCCAAAAATAGCTTTGCAAGACTGAATTTTAAAATTGGTAATAAGTGGCCTTTCATGGCATGATGTATTAGTATATACTATTGTGCTGGTATAGTAAGTGGCAAAATATACAATATGTTAAGTTCTTTAATCATGAAATCTATTAACAGAATGCACTTTTGAAACACCATATGAGCTTTCAATAACCGTCAAAATAACTTATACGTGGACTGAGAATGACTCTGAGGTAGCCTCAGAATCCATTTATGAGTGGTGAAAACTGTTTACCATTTTAATGGTTCTGACCATGCTGTTCAGGACTGAAAAAAGGAGCTCTCTGGATATGGCCTTGCACTCTTGCATGTTTATGGAAAACTAGGGAAGTATCTGAAATTGAACACATTTGTCAAAGAGTGACCTTAGAAATCATGTCTGGGTAACAGGGTGTACTTCTGTCTCCTGAGAAGGTTCGCTTCATCAGCTCCTCTTTCTTTCTATCAAATCAGATGTATTGAAATTCGAGTGCCCAAAGCCACTTGTAGTAAATGTAAGTACACCTCTCTCAAAGTAGCTGCTGATGGAATCTGAAGTGACTTGGTGGCAAACCACACTCTGCAGTGCAGGTGCACACAGCAGAGCTTCAGAAGTGAATGCTACATCTCTGGGCTTTTAATTTCACTTCCGCATTGACAGAGGTATGGGGCCCTTTCTGGTTAGATGAAAAAAGCTACCATGATCTTACATCTCGATCAATCTTATTTCAAGCACTGCTTGTTTTTCTTTCTTAGTCTGGCTTCTCAGCGTGTTTGATTGGTGACCTCTTTAGATCTGCGGAGTGTAGGCAAATGCAGTGACATTTTGCTTAAAAGATTAAAGCATCTGGATCATGTCTCACTGAGAGATTATCGGGGTAGGCAGACGTGCTCATCTCGGGATGTTGATGCTTTCAGAAACTAAATCCACATTAAGAAGTATTGACTAGGCCTCATTCTATCACCAACACCCCAATCAGAACATATCATTAGTAAAATAATAAGACCATTCCCCACTTCTCAACCCCTACCTCCCAGTAGGGAGGTATGTCAAAGGTCATGCATCCATGAAGAAATACAAAGTGGAAAGCAGACACCAGGCAAGGAGAGACGTGACAACACTGGCAGCACAGTCAGGCACAGAAAGATGGTGCAGACATTGGGAACACAGCTCAGGCAGGGAGAGATGGCACGGACACTGGGGATGTGGCTTCCGAAGTAAAGAACAAGCAAAGGGAAGACTGAGAGTGTGAGGGTAAAGGAGATAAAAAGGACAGATACCTACCCAGACCTGCGCTATCTAGCTACCGGCCTGTGGACTTATATTATCACCACTGGGCTCCCCACTGGGCTCACCAAATGGATCACTGTTGGATGAGGCCTGTGATCCATCAGGCTAGAACACAAGAAGATAATACTTTTTTTTTCTCTTTTCAATGACTGAAAATATAAGACAACTGGGAATACTTTCATGCAGTCCATACAATAAGTTATCTTAAAGGAGGGCACAACTTCGGTTAGAGGATGCCACCCCATAAACAAGAACGTGTAGCAACAACGTAGTGCAAGGCAATTGTTTTCCGGCTGACTCCTTTGAACACAAAAGAAAGCCCCTCGAGCAACCCCCTTAGAACTTAAGAGCTGGAGCCAGCATTCACTTCTATGTAGGCTTCCTCATGCATTGTCCATTTCAGACATGGAAGTTTGAATTTTCACGAAAAATCAAAACAGAAATAAGAAACTGGTCACTTACAGCTTCTTGCTCTTCACTTTTGCTGGGACTTTCAAAGCCCTCTTCAAAGATGTCATCTGTGGTAGGATCACTGGCGTGGGATGCAGATGACTTGGATGGAGAGCTCTGTCTAGGGGCTGGGGTTGGAGCTACACAGGGACGATGCAAAAAGAGGAAACTGGTTACAATCATTTATATCCCACAGACACTTCAGAGACCTGGGTATATTCAAGTCAGGTCAAAGCATTCTTCTTCCCGTCCCAAGACAAACAGCAGAACATCTGCATCCCTCCTCTGGGTGTATTTCTCATTCTTTTCTACATTGGATCACGAGGACAGAGCCATACGCTCTGACGGATAAGGCAGCAGTTTCCAAGCAATGTTCCCAGCACTAGCAGCATCAGCATCATCTAGGGATTTGCTAGAAATGCAAACTCCTGGACCGTACCCCAGTTCTACTGAATCAGAAACCGTTTTAACAACCCTGTTAGAGGCAATTCCAATGCACACTTGAGAGCTAGAGGGCGACGGTTTTCTTTCTTCTCTGTCTTTTATCAGAGGACAGATTTATTGAGTACCTTTTATGTGTCAGTCACTGTCAAAAATTTTTACAGACAATCTCTCTAATACTTATAAGCCTCTCTTCAGTAGAGTTTATCCCAATTTCACAGATAAGGAAAGTAGAGGTTGTTCATTTGTTCATGGAGCCTGGTGGAACCAAGCTCTGAATCCTGGCACATGATAGATGTTCAACAGACACGTGTTGAATAAGAAGTGTCTCATGGGACCAGCAGTTGGCATAATGGCTATGTCGCTGGACTCCCATGTAGTCAACCGTGGTTCGAGTCCCAGACACAGTGACTTAAACTCATACCGGGTATGTGTGCGTGCATGCCTGAGATCCCGAGAGGAGAACAGAGGAGAAGGGATTATGGCATGGCCATCTCCCCGGGGGTTGGGGGAGTGATTTCTCGCCTTCTGTCTCTCTGTCTCTCTCTTTCTGGTGAGCACATGCACCCTATAGCAAAAAATCTCTCCAAAAACAAAATGAAACAAAGCAAGTGTCTCAGTGATCTGGGGAAATGGATATGGCAGATGACGCCTTCATAGCTGGCATTTCATTCTTTAAGAATATGCATTTGCGAGACCAGCGGATGGCGTAATGGTTATGTTGCTGGACTCCTATGTAGTCAACTGTGGTTCAAGTCCTGGACCAGGCAGCTTAAAACTCATACATGCCGGGAAACAGCAGTTAGTGTAATGGCAATGTTGCTGGACTCCCACGTAGTCGACCGCGGTTCGTGTCCCGGACCCGGTGGCTTAAAACTCACGCCGGGCGCGTGTGCGTGCGTGCCCAGGATCCCGAGAGGAGAATGGAGGAGAAGGGATTGCAGCGTGACCATCCCCCCTGGGGGGTGATTTCTCGCTTTCTGACTCTAATGTCTCTCTCTGTCTGGCGAGCGCACGCGCCCTATAGTGAAAATCTCTCAAAAAAAAAAAACAAAAAAAACCAAAAAAAACTCATACATGCCCAAAATCTCAAGAGGCGAATGGAGGAAAAGGGATTGTGGATGTGGGGAGGGGAGAGTGATTTCTTGCTTTCTGTCTCTCTGTCTCTCTGGCGTGCACAGGTGCCCTATAGGAAAAATCTGTCTTTTAAAAAAATTGTGCATTTGCTATACTGATGTCTTCATTTTCTTCTTCTCATTTGTCCCAGAGGTTTAAAACAAATATGCCATTTGAAACTTACCAATTTTAACTTGGCATTTAAAATACCAGTCACTGGTTCAGCTGCAAGTGAAAGGGTTGGAGCTCAGCTTGATTTAGGAGGTGAATTTCACATGCCATTGATAAGGCCTCCCTGTTGTAATGTTCCAGAACTCGGAAAACCTGATGGCTCACCAGACCATGAATGCTTATAAAACATGTTGTGTGCTTTTTACTATGATGGACCTACATTTAGAACAGTGACACTGTTTATTTAATGTATTGTGAGTCAGGCACTGTACTAGGCACCTCTCCTTCACTACACTCCCTAATATAAACCACATCTTTCTCAAGCCCCTCCGAAGTGTTAATAACCTTAATACATGGTTACTGTACCTTCCTTCCACCCCCAATAAAGACACTGCAGCTCAGAGAGCTCATATGAGGGAACTTGCTCAGGGTTAACACAGCATGAAATATAGCAGATCTAGAATTTCACTAGGATCTGTCTTACACTATCCAGTCCAAGTGTGCTTTTGTATTTCTTTCTTTTTTTTTTTAATTTTTGAGAGAATTTTTTGCTATAGGGCATGTGTGCTTGCCAGAGAGAGACAGAAAGTGAGAAATCTCCCCGCCCCCCACGGGGGATGGCCATACTGCAATTCCTTATCCTCCACTTTCCTCTTGGGATTTTGGGCATGCACTCATATGCACCTAGTGTGTTTCAAGCCTCCAGGTCTAGGACTCAAACTGCGGCCAACTATATGAAAGTCCAGTGACACAGCCATTATGCCATCTGTTCATCCCTCTGTTTCTTTCTTTCTTTTTTCAAGTTTATTTTTTCCCAAAGAGAAAGAGAGAGATGGACAGACAGGTATGGTACCATCAACAGAGTCTTCATGCTATGATCCTCAGCCCCAGCCCTATAGCCAGCCAGGCCCATGAACATGCCTGGAATGTTTGGGTAGACCCAGGGTGTGAATCAGGACCTTCCCACCTGGCCTAGCATCACAGAGCAGAGCCCTTACCACCTACATCATTGCGGCTGGGCCAGGGGGCTTGGCTTTCTATTTGAGGCTCACTTTTGTTCCAACCAATCCACCACTCAGAACATCCAAGAGAGGACACTGAAGGACAGGAGGATAGAAAGATTGGCTGGACTCATTTTCTTCAAAACAAAACATTAAGTTTATGAAAACACTGATTTGGGGTAGATCTTTAATAAATATTAGCTTGACTGCATCCTGAAAAGTATGTTGAAAGTGGCTGATTTCTTACTACAGGCTGAGAACCGAGGCTGGACTACCGATTCTGACAGGTCGACTCCTCAGATGTATCTGAGGAAATCAGTGAGGATGAATTTACATAGCATCTTAACCATTAACCCTTACAAAGTATTACAGAATACTTGGATACTCCCAAAAGCAGTCCTCGCTCTGGGGCAATTTCGCTCCCAGGGGACATCTGGGGACACCTGGAGTCATTTTTGATTTCATGATGAAAGGAAGGGATGTATGTTACTTGCATCTAGTGGGTTGAGACCAGGATTGCTCCTAGTAAGTCTTCAGTGCACAGGAAAGCCCCTGCCCCAGTGAAGAATTACCTTGGCTCTCACCGATGACAGGACCAAAGCTGCAAAACTCGGCTCTAAAACCAAACAGCAGCAGAACGGCCCTTGTTCTGTTTACTTCATTTTGCACAATCTTTCTCGAATCCCCGAAAGCATTAGGCACTGTGCCAGCATTACGAGACATGCAGGAATGATGAGGACATAGTCCCTGTCCTGAAAGAACTTAAACTTCCCTCTTTTAAGTCCATTTGAGTGGAATGAGAGTAAACGAGATATGCCTGTTTTGAAAAGATGCTTGCTTATTTCTGATTTATGCATGGCTGTCATTTTAGCATTTCATGTTTTATTCCTCGTTCTTCACTGAAACCCTGTGAGTTACAGTCGATAGAGACAGCCCTACCTCTTAGACCACATGGCCTGAGTGTAAATATTGTTTGTACATACGGGAGACATTCATTTTCAGAGCAGCATTGGGAACCTGGCTGAAAGACACGATCTAATTGTATTAACATCAGATTTTTTTTTTTTTTTGACAATTCACACTATTGGCCATGCAGTGATCCGTGTCGCCTGTGACAGTAATGAAAACGCTGAACTCCTTGTACCATGAGCCTTTTCTTTCCCTGGATCAATTGTCAAGGCAGAGGCTGAGTCACCACAACACCTCCCCAGACTGCGTCAAGCCCACGAGTGCTCGAGGGTGTCTGAATTCTGATGTGGCTGTGCAGTTACTATTTTCCGGCTGTTGGTGGTAGAAAAGTGAGCTGAGAAGGAGAAGCAGAAACACTGCATACCTGAGCTGATTCACTTGTTTCACTGATGACACCACTGAGTCTCAGGGGTCACGTGCTCTCCAAAGACACAGCTTCCGTGGAGAAGCCAGTGCTAGAGCCCTGGTGCAGTACTCTGAGCAAACCCATCATGATAATGATGACGACACTACTTCACATTTTGTGAGTAGATAATATCTTAGTGCGTGTGCTATTGTAAATCCTTTTAATAACCCATAGTCTTAGACAGATGAAGAAATTGAGGCAGACAGAAATAAAATGACTTGCCTAAAGGCACAATGAAAACTAGTAAATAATGAAGATGATATTCAAGTTTACAGAATTTTCTGCCTCACCATCTGTCTTCCTTCCTTCCTTCCTCCCTCCTTTTCTTCTTTCCTTCCTTCCTTCCTCCCTCCCTCCCTCTCTTCCTTCCTTCCTTCCTTCCTTCCTTCCTTCCTCCCTTCCTTCCTTCCTTTCCTCTCTTTTTTTTAGGTTTATGTCATAGGGGATGTGAACTTGCCAGACAGAGAGACAGTGCAGTGAGAGGTGAAGTGAGAAATCTCCTTGGAGAGGGATGGTCACACCACAATCCCTTTTATTCCGTCTTGCACCTGGGATTTTGGGCACACACACATATGTGCCCAGTAAGAATTTCCAGCTGTCTGGTCTGGTACTCAAACTGCAGTCAGCCACGTGTGAGTCCAGCACCTTAACCACCATGCCACCTGCTGGCCCGCCCCATGTAGTCTTTTCCTTGACTACTAGAAGTTTAAGGGACCAGCAATTAGCGTAATGGCTATGTTGTTGGACTCCCATGTAGTCGACCGCGGTTCAAGTCCTGGATCCAGTGGCTTAAACTCACGCTGGGTGCGTGTGCATGCATGCCCAAGATCCTGAGAGGAGAATGGAAGAGAAGGGATTGCGGTGTGGCCATTCCCCCTTGGAGGTGATTTCTCACTTTCTGTCTCTCTGTTCCTCTGTCTTTCTGGCGAGTGCACATACCCTATAGTAAAAAACCTCTCCAGAAAAAAAAAAAAAAGACTACTAGAAGTTTAAGCCAAAATCTGGTTTCAACCACAACAATGATCAATATAGAAGGCCTTTTAGCTACTCTATCTCTACTTTAAGCTTTCTCTTGATGTTAATGTTCTGTTCTAACTTTTAAACTTTGTTCCTAAAATGTTTCAAATTTACATTTACCATTTTTTTCAGAGTTTTTAAGTCTTTATTATTATTATTATTATTATTATTATTATTATAGGGTGGGAGAACTTGCAGGAGCCAGACAGACAGAGAGAGAGAGTTGAGAAAGTGGGAAATCGCACCTCACCCCAGGGTGAATGACCATATTGGGCAAACCCTTCTCCATTCTTCTCTTAGGATTTTGGGCACGTACACTCACATGTGCACGCACACACATACACACACAGCCAATGTGATTTTTATGCCACCAGGTCTGGGGTTCAACTGTATTCAGCCATGTGGGAGTCCAGTGCCTTAACCAACATGGTACCTACTGGTCCCTCGCATTTTATTTTTATTTCAATAAGCCAAAACCTGAGTACTATAGCTGGGCTAAACATAAACGAATAAGTGAATGAGTGAATGAACCAACTGACAAAACAAAAACATAAGCAGCAGAGTGACATGGTGGGAAATCTCAAGCTGGTATTCAATTCTACTACTTTGTCTATCGTCTTTAATTTTGAACCTCACTGTTAATATATGTATGGAGTGGGCCTAACAAAACTTGACTTAAGCACTGCTGTGAGTCTAAAAACAAAGATCAGATGGAGAAGTAATGATATTTAGGGTACATAAATCGGTAGCTATTATTATTATTATTATTATTTTGCTAGACAGTGTGTGTACTTGCCACACAGAGACAGAAACAGAGAGGGGGAGGAAGAGGAGAAAGCACTTCCCTACAAGGAATGGCTCACATTACCATCCTTTCTCCACCTCTCCCTCCTTTTGAGACTTTGGCTCCCACATACACGCACCCTGTGTGTTTCTTAAGCCTCTCAGTTTAGGACTCAAATTTATGGTCAGCCATGTGAGATCTGGCTGCCTTAATCACCAGTTCTGGTGGCTATTATTATTATTATTAGTAGTAGTAGTAGTATCAGCTGCAATATAAAGAATGAGGCCGATGAATGAAGCTGAGATGAGCTCTCTGACTCCAGAAAACCCATTCTTCAAATAGAAGGCATCTCTCTGGTGAGGTTTTAGGTCTCAAGTGAAGGGCACTCACGTGAGTTGGTGGATGGCGTGGTAGAAGTCACGGGGGTCAAATTCAACTGGGAGATATCAAAGTCGTCACAGTCGTCCGTATCCTGTGCCACCCCGACTTTGTTGAAGTAACTGGAGAAGGCCTCTGAGGTACAGGTGAGGGAGGGCTGGTCGGGCTTGCGCGAGGGCACAGGTGGAGGCAGAGCCATCTGGAAATCCTTAAACATTTCTTTCCCCATTTTCTGCCTTGGCTTGTCGGTCTGGGGACTTGACCTGGCAGAGTCACTCGTGCCTGGGACGGTTGCAAGGGGGGTGAGGGGACCTTGGAACATGGCAGCTGGCAAAGGCAGAACAGTTTGTGTGGGCATGAAGGCGGCTGGCGGAAACTGCCCGGCCACAGCGGGCCAGGGCTGCTGAGTGGCAGGAAAGAGACCCGGCTGGCCCCATGCGATGGGCTGAGCCCCCGGCATCACCTGAGCGACTGGTGGCTGAGCACCCATGGCGATCTGCTGCTGGACAAGGGGCTGCTGACCCCAGAAGGATGGGAGGACGGCGCCCATGGCAACGTAACCTAGAACAGCAAGAAAGGACAATCAGGCATTCTGGGAAAAAGAAGTCATAGAGTCAAATGACTGACACAAATGTGAGAGCGAGGTGAGGCACCAGGGCCTGGGCTGCGAAGACAAATGAGACAAAAGTCCCTGCTCTCAGGGCACCCCCTTCTAGGGAAGTGCTCAGGGGAAATCTAGGAGATGATTCACAGGCGGAAATGGGAAATGCAGCGAGGAAGCAGGCCATACAGAGATCTGGGGAGAAATAATAGTATTTCTCCGGCTGTTAAAGGCTTCCTAAATCTCACGGCCTCCGGAGCCAGAGGGCCTCTGTGGGAAGGCAAAGGACTGCAAAGCAGGAAGCACTGGGGATTTATCGTACCTCCCTTCCGGCTGGATGAGGACAGCCTCATCAGTTAAACTCTCTAAAGTCACTCTTTGTTGTAAAGCCAGATTATATTACCGTCTTTCTCAGCATTGATGCGTATCCATAATGAATAAGAAACAATGTTGGTGTTTTAGAGGTCTAGGTTAAAATGTATACTGCCAGGACCAGTAGCTGGTGGAATGTTACATCACTGGACTCCTACGTAGTTGACAGCCAGGCAGATCAAGTCCCAGACTTGGTGGCTTAAAACTCATACTGGGCACGTGTCCCAAAATCCCGAGAGGACAATGGAAAAGGGACTGAGGCATGGCCATCCCCCCTGGGGGGTGATTTCTCACTTTCTGTCTCTCTGTCTCGCTGGCAAGTGCATGAGTCCTAAAACAAAATAATCTAAAAAATTTGTTTTTCAAACTCCACTTCTTGTCCATGTAACTTGGAGAACATTTCTTTTTTTAAATTTTATTTATTTATATTTTTGGAGAGGTTTTTGCTACAGGGTGCATGTGCTCACCAGACAGGCAGAGAGAGACAGAGAGACAGAAAGTGAGAAATCCCCCCCCAGGGGGGATGGCCACGTCGCAATCCCTTCTCTTCTATTCTCCTCTAGGGATCCTGAGCATACACGCACACGCGCCCGGCATGAGTTTAAGCCACCGGATCCAGGACTCAAACCGTGGTCGACTACATGAGAGTCCAGCAACATAGCCATTATGTTAACTGCTGGTCCTGAGATCCGTACATTTTGACAGGAGCACGGGTGACACCTCTTACAATAACAACAGTAATTTCCACTAATTAAATGCCTACAATGTGCCAGTTACATTATTAGATTTTTTTAAAGAATTATTCTATTTATCTTTATTTATTTTAATTTGATGAGACAGAGAGAGAGAGAGAGAGAGAAAGCTGGCTGCCATGTCCAGGACTGAAATGGTGGTTGGCCATGTGGTAGAGCAGTGCCCTTAATCACATACCACCTGCCGACCCCCATGATTAGATGCTTTATACCTTCACACAATCCCTGCAGGAAAGGTATTACCTCCATGTAAGAGTGAAAAAAATTGGTGTTCAGAATAGGAAAGAAACTTGCTTAGGATCACAGAGATGGTATAAGATAGAGTCAGAATCTAAACTGAGATTCTCTGTGCCCAAAGCTACCATTCTGTCCTTTGTGCCACACTGCCTCACCCAGATGGCCAAGGCCAATTTCTGATCTTGGCACAGTCAGTGGACTTTGCCTAACACTAGAGTCCTGAACGGATTCCCACGTGCTTCCAGTGGTCCCCACCTGCTAGGCCTTGAAAGGGCTCCCCCAAAACCTCTGTATTAAAATCTGGTGAGTCTCTGTTACAGTGTTGAGAGTGGAGACTCAATCCAACCATGACCACTGGGAAGCAATCAGGTATTCAGGTGGGGCCTCCATAATTGGACACTCACAGATCTGTAAGGAGACACAGATATAGGCATGATGTATGCATGGTCTTGCCTTCTGATGCCCTGTACCACCTCGGGGCCTCACTATAAGAAGACCCTCAGCAAAATTTGTACCCATGACCTTGGACCTCCAAAATCATAAGCTAAATAAACCTCTTTCTCTTTTCCTTAAAGTTTTATCATAGGACATGTGCACTTGCCACAGAGATACAGAGTGAGACAGTGAGAGGGAAAGTGAGAATTACCCCTGGGTGGATGGTCAAACTGCAAGTCCCTCTCCTCCATTCTACTCCTGGGCATGCATGCACATGCACCTGGCATGATTTTCAGGCTGCCAGGTCTGAGATTTCAATTGCAGTTGGCCATGCTGGAGTCCAGTACCTCAATCACCATGCCACTTACCGGCCCCGTTCTTTTTAAATTACCCAGGCTCAGATATTCTAAGAATATTAGCAATAGGAGAGACTAAACCATTGCTTTTTCAGGGGCACAGTAGCCATCTGTGTGTATAGCTGAATCTTGGAGGCAAGTGATCAGGTGAGATAAGAGAGAGATCGAAAAGCTAGCTTTGCCCGTCCTTCAAAACAAGCACTTTGATGGTGTCAACAGAAATCTGCATAGCAGAGCAGTGAGGCTAGGACAGAGGAGGAGTGGATGCAGGATATCCTGGCAACTTCCCAAAGGATGATGGGAGATTTCTGTGGCCCCGATCACATCATCATGGGTCATGTCAGTGACTCCAGCAAGGTGCTCCATGTCCCAGACTCAGGTCCATCCACCCTTCAACCAACTGAGAAGAGGCAGACCCAACACCTGTGACCAGGTCATTTTCCTGGTAGGTGTACATTTTGTCCCTTGGACCTTACTGCCCTTGGGAGGAGGTACCAGAGGGGCACAGACAGGAATCATGAGTGTCTTGCTGATTAATCTGGCAATGTCAAATGCTTTTATGGAAGGAGGCAGAATGGCAACAAACAAAAGACAATATCCTACCAAGATCACTTAGAACAACTGCACGGAAACAGGAGGAAGGAAGAGACACAGTGTGGACATTCCAAAGTTGAAACTTGCTTCGATCATCTGGCCTACTGCCCCTTTTCTTTTATATGTTTTCTAATTTACTTTGATATGACGTAATGGTTCTCAATGGGAGTGATACTGCCTCTTAGGAGGGATTAGAACATTCGTGGGGTGTTGTTTTGGTTTACGTGATAACTGGAGGGTGGTGGCACTAGGTGTGCAGAAGGTTGAGAATAGTCATCTTATAATGTCTGAGACCAACTTGCACAACCAAGAATTCGCCAACACCCCATTTGTGATTTGAGCCTAGAATTGACTTTGAATTACATGGAGAAGTGCACTCAGCTCTTCAGGAATATGACAACTGTACACTGAGGGAAGTTTGTATTTTGTTTTGCTTAGATCACTGTCAAGAGGTGGTCACCATTCTGGAAAATGGTGGTCCCTGAAAGAAACACTTCTGCATCATTCTGTACGTGTAGCTGGGCTTCCAGTGGCGATTCTCTTTCCAGGTATATGCGCTGATGGCTTGCTATGTTTTCTAGTGTGCTCACCCCTGAGAATTTCCTTACGGAAATAGGCATCTTTTTATTCTAAATTAGCTCTCCTTTATTTCTACCTCATATTATAGTTAGGGCATTATACTGGTTTTGTCTTATATTGGTTTGTGTAGGTAGGTTATATTATCTATGCATTTCATTTTAAGATATCGGAGGAGACACTGCAAATATTTGTACTAAAAAGAGAGCATGGATGTGCCAGGAGATCTACCCATGGATCTTTCAACCACCCTAGCTCAGATGCCCATTTTGGTCAGTGGGCAGAAGGGCTGCCATCTCTACCCAGACTACTGTTTCCTTTGCTTTCAGTCCCCTCTCCTTGTTGTCATCAGGGGACTATTCTAAAGTGCAAACATAGAGCTTCCTTGGGTTGAATACAAGACTCAGATGCCTTCGTTTGGTGTATGAGGGTCAGCCCTCTTAACCCCTTCCTCATCACCTTCAGTTCGAACCCTCACTGGCACCTTTCCCTTGAGCATTTGCAAACGACACCCAGCCTACTGTCTCTCATCTCAGCTGGCCCCTCTGCCTAGAGGACAGCACCCAGTGTCTTCACGTGGCTAACTCACTTCACCCTCTCCTCCACTGAAGGCCTTCCCTGTCCTGTCGGCCTGGCTGCTCCTTCCCTGGTTTCCACAGTCCTCTGCACTCACCCCTATCACAGCACTTGCCACCCTGTGCTGTAACTACCTGGCTATTCTGTCTACCTCATGAGACTAGACACCACCTGCTGGTAGGTGCCCTCTTACTTCCTTTTTCTCTGCTCTGTGCTTAGCATAGTACTTGGCACACACCAAAGCCCCACCTATGTCTTAGATCAGAGAAAGGCCCTGCATGATGGTGAACGAATGACTCGGAATGCCTGCCTTCACAGTATCTTTCCAAGTGTACAATTAACCTCCAAGATCCCTACGTGCTGTGATCTCTGATGAGCCTATGGTTGGTGGCAGGTTTTCTCTCCCTCTCATTTGTGTTCCTTTTTCTTGTTGTCATAAGGAACTAACAGATGGGCTGTGCACACTTTTCTGGAGAGAGCTATTAGCATGTCTCTCTGGCTTCATGCCATCTGCTCCAGACCAAAGTACAATATTCCAAAGGAAAAAAAAAAAAAAGGTAGCACAGGGTAATTGGGTATTATGTTTGGGAGTGTGCAGGTCTCACTTGCTTTTCCTGGGGGGCCTTCGCAGCCAGGGTTCTTCCCAGGCCTGTGAGCTAAGGCTTTCCAACCACATGGCATCCTGCATGCCTGAAGGGACATCGTGACAGCAGTACTGTGGTAGCCCTGGACACGTGGTCACTTGGTAGCTGCTACTACAGCCACTTAACAGCTTATTAACTGTTTACTCATAATGTTCAGCAGCAGAGGGAGGAGGTGTCAGGGAGCATCTGTTTATGGCATGGAGTTCAGATCAATCATAAATCTCCTTGCTGGGAAGTGAAAGGGAACACCTGCAGTACTGCCTTGCAAGGAGGTTTTTAAAAGTGTTGAAAATTGCAATTTATAACCAGATGTTGGCACTTAGGGACTCCCTCCTTATTTAAAAAAAAAAAAAAGGGACCAGAAGATAGCATAATGTTTATGTCCCTGGACTCCCATATGGTTGATCGCGGTTCAAGTCCTGGACCTGGAGGTTTGAAACTCATGCTGGGTACGTGTGCCTGTGTGCCCAAAAGGAGAATAGAGAGAAGGGATTGAAGCATGGCTATCCCTGCTGGGGGTGTGTGTGATTTTGTGCTTTCTGTCTATCTCTCCTGCAAGCCCATGTGCCCTATAGTGACAATTTCTATCTCAAAAAAAAAAAAATTAGAAAAGAAAGAAGAAAGAAAGAAAACTGGATTCTACATGGCCAAATGTGGTTTGAAACTCAGTCTCAAAGGTTTGAAAAACACCCTGGGCTCTTGGGCACATGTACCCTAAATCCTGACAGGGTAGCAAAATGGAGGAGAAAGGACTGCAGTATGGACATGCTTCACTTGGGGGTGCTCTCTCTGTCTCTCTAGTTAGTGAACATGTCCTCTGGGAATTAAAAAGGAAAGAAAAGAAGGAAGGTAGGAAGGAAGGCAGACAGAAATTGAAAACTAAGGGACTCCTCCATCATTTCTATAGAACTTAGAAGGTACTTCTTAGCTACATTATCTCATTTGACTCATTCATCATTCATTCAAAAATATCCCTACCAGAAGCCAGACAATTGTTTAAATCTCTAGAGATTGGGTGAAGAGAAAAAAATAGTTAAAAAAAATACTTGTCCTAAGAAATCTTCCATTATTATGAAGACTCTGGGGTAGCTGTTATTGTTATCTCTTTAATTTGCATATGAGACACTGTAGCTCTTCTCCATTCAGGGAAAGATCTGGTGCAGTATATACAGAGCAGAGCCAGGACCCCTGGTGGACAGAGGAGCCGGCATCTGTGGAGTGCCTACTGCAATAAATGAATGTTTTACTGGATACATTTACTCATGCAATTCTCAGAACAGCTCTGTGAGGGAGAATGATGATCATCCCCATTTTACAGATAAATTCCTTCAAGCTCAGAAGAGAATGAGCTAAACATTATGCAGCTGGTTAGTGGCAGTGACTGTGTTGATAAAAGGACGTTCTCCATGCCATTTAGGCTACTTTTTCCATGAGTCGTTGAAAGGCCAAAGGCCTAAACTGTATTAGATGCATTTAAACAAATAAAAACCAAGGGGCCAGCAGGTAGCATAGTAGCTAGGGCACTGGACTCCCATATGACTGACCGTGGTTTGAGTTCCAGACCCAGCAGCTTGAAACTCACGTGGGGCATGTGTGCATGCATGCCCAAAATCCCAAGAGGAAAATGGAGAAGAGACTGTGGCATGGCCATCCCCCTTTTGGGGGGTGATTTCTAGTTTTCTGTCTCTCTGTCTCTCTAGCGAGTGCACATGGCCTATAGCAAAAATCTCTGTAAGAAGCCCCTGAAAACAAAGCAAAATAAAACAAATGGGTCAGCCAGTGGTATGGAGGTTAAGGCAGCTGGATCCCTCATGGTCCTGCGTGGCTAGAGTCCCAGACCCTGCAGCTTGAAAAAAACAAAAAACATACCATGTGCAAGTGCATACATGCCCAAATCTCAAAAGAACAAAGGAGGGGGATTTCGTTGTGGCTAACTCTTTCGATGATGTTTTCTCACTTTTTCTGTCTCTCTCCACAAGCGTGTGTGCCCTATAGTAAACTTATAAAACAACAAAAACCAAATACACTCCAAAAAAGTAAAAAAAAAAACCCACACACTTAGATACATACACACACACACACAAGTACATATATACACAAATACATAAACATCTATGACAAGACATTTTTTTCTACTTTACAAATCAAAGTAATAATAATAACAATAATAACAGCATTTTTGAAACGAAGAATCTATGATACACTGGTATTTTTCAAGGAATTTGATTTTATTTTCTCATTTAACACATAGACACACACACACACACACACAAGTACATATATACACAAATACATAAACATCTATGACAAGACATTTTTTTCTACTTTACAAATCAAAGTAATAATAATAACAATAATAACAGCATTTTTGAAACGAAGAATCTATGATACACTGGTATTTTTCAAGGAATTTGATTTTATTTTCTCATTTAATTCTTATGATATTCTTGCAAAATAAGTATTGTTTTCAACCCAGTTATAAAGATGAAAAATCTCAGGCTCTGACAGGTTAAGTAACTTGTGTAAGAGTCTAAAGCTTATTTATAAAATGACTGAGGCAAGATTTGAACCCCGCCCATCAGTGTGAAAAGCCTCCGGTAGCCAGCCCTCCTATGGTATTGCATAACCGAGTTCATTTCTCTGTCTCCTAACACTCACTAGATAGTTCCTGGCAAGCAGGTGGAGATTTAATAGGTGCAAAGACTTTTTAAAGACCAGTTAAGGGAGGAAAAGGGACGTATGGGGAGATTTCAAGAAGTTCTTGGAAAAATGGAGTAAAAAATATGAGTTTTAATGCAAAAAAAATTTTAATCCACATTTTCCATAAACTTTTTGAAGACCCACCTACTGAGAGCTTAAAATCTACTGAGGCCTAGTTTTGTTCTTAGCATATCTTAAGGATGCAAAAATATCATTAAAATTAATTTTAGACTGGTCCTAAAAATTGAAATCTTATAGGTAATCTATTTATTATTATTATTTAAAAAAGCAATCTGGGGGACAGCAGATAGCATAATGGTTACGTCACTGGACTCCCACATAGCTGCTGTAGTTTGAGTTCCAGACACGGCAGCTTGAAACTCACACCAGGCGCGTGTGCATGCATGCTCAAGATCCCAAGAGGACAATGGAAGAGACAATTGCAGGAGACAAGACCGGCCATCCCCCCAGAGGGGTGATTCCTCACTTTCTGTCTCTCTGGCAAGTGCATGTGCCCTATAGCAAAAATATCTCTTTAAAAAAAAAAAACAAACAAAAACCAAAAACTGGATGTATGGAGTGACTGGTTCATAGTTTGCAATGTGGCCAGGTAAGTAAGCAAGACTAAAGCCCAGCTTTTCTAAGTCCCTAATCTGCTCGAGGTTTGGGAGGAGACCCAGAGCAATGACTTACTTAGGCAGGTCCACAAGTCCACAAGGTGTTTTTATTCAAATGTTACCACCAGAAGAGACACAGAATTGAATCTAGTGCCTCCTTCTCTTTTATAGAGAAGGGAATAGAGACTGAAGAGACCAGGCCATTCCTTGACATGGCATGCTCTTAACTCTGAGACCTTCTCAATATCTCCCTAGTCCTCTCTAGTCTGCTCACATCTTACTTTTATGGATACCCTGATCACGACTCCGTGCCCTCTGCCCAGACACTAACGTTCCCATACCCTGCTCTACATTTTCTTTTGTCCATATCACTAATCATCTTCCAACGTATTACATAAGTCACTTATTTTTATGTTGCTGTTTGTCTCTTGCCCATATAAGGTAAGCTCTGTCTGTCAACTTCACAACACACCCCAAACACATAGAACAGGAGCTGGCACATCGTGGGCACTTATGAATATTTGTGAAAGATACATGCCTGAAATTTAGTAAGTTTGGGGCCCAGTGTTCCCATCAACTGTCTGAAAATATATTTTTTATTTCCTTTGGCTACATTGCAATCTCTTTTCCTTCACTCTCTTCCTGGGATTTTGGCCATGCATGCACATGTACCCAGTGTGTTTTTCAAGCTGCTACGTCCATGACTTGAACCATGCAGTTGGCACGTGGGCTCTGGCTGTCTTAACTACCTTGTCACCAGTTGGCCCCCCAATGTCTTTGTAGATATGGTAATACGGAAGAAGCATGGGTGTTCTGAACACAAATACAGGGCTGATACACAGAAGGGCAGTACATTTTTGACACTGAACTTATTCTTATTTAAAATGATAAATTCTGTTACACTGTTCTCAGGGAGATTTCAGCATACATTTTAAGTAAGAAAAACTAGTCATCACCCCCATCTCAGTTTAGAAATGAGTAACAGAGATTCAATTATGAAATTTAACAATTAAATAAATCTCCAGACAACTCAAAGATTCTAAATGATACGTTAGACCCAATGGCTACCAATCTTGATTGCTTCTAAATGTTCATAACGATGCCTTGGCTGATGAAGAAATATATGAATAATATATTTCGGAACAGGACATGAATTTTTAATTGACTTTGAATAAAAACAAGGTTTATATTTGGTGGCAAGAATTTACTTCTAACGCTGTGGTAATTAGAAGTAATCATTTATAGAAAAAGCTCATTAAGATTTGTATTCTAAAATATACAAACTCTTATTTGTCATTTATAAGAGTAAATTCAACGAAGAAAGATAATGCCATGGATTAAAAATGTAGTTAAAGGAAAACACAAGATTCTTTTAACAAACAGCAGGACGACCTAGCTGTACAGAGTACCTGATATCCAGAAACAAGGTCAGGTCTCTAGACTCACCCATTTGTAACCTACCTGTAATATTGATACTACATGTATTTTCACCCTGTTATAAGAGTAGTATATACATTTTAAAGAACATCTGGGAAATGTAATACTTTCTAAATCATGAAGAAGCCTATCAACCCTCAATTCACTGTCAGTGCTGGTTTTCATCCCACAGGGTCTCGCCATATACATTCCCCGGCCCTCAACTCCCTACCCCCAAGGGGCGAACCTCCCCTTCCTTGCATCAGTAGATCCCTTCTACCAATAAGTCTCAAGAGGTCTGAGGAAGGCTGACCTGTCTCCTCCCCTGCTCACCAACTTTTCTCCATGTGGCTGAAATGGACGGGAGGAAATGGGCCTGCACTGATCTGCACACCTGTGGGTATGCCATGCTCTCAAACGCTATACCCACGCATGTAACCTCAATTCTTGGACTCTCCAGGTGAAAGACATTGCTGAATTCCAGCCGGCACCATGACAGAGCTTTGCACTCCACCGCTCCTCCCCAGCCAAATGGCAGCCTCACAACATCACCTGCAGAATCGCAGGAGAGACAGGTGGTTTCACAGGTGTTTTGGCATCATCTGGTGCTGGTTCAGCCAATCCTTGCATTTTCTTGGTGAATAGAGGTGGAAGGAAGGGAAGGTGATGGAAGAGGGCTTACCTGAGGGGACAGCAGCAGTGCCGAAAGGTACAGAACCAAACACATCTGCACTCGCCGGAAGTGTCTGAGCTGAAGATGGGATAAAGGCATCACCTGGAGTTGCAGGAGTCTGCCAGACAGAGAGGAAGAGGAGGCGTGAGGCCCGGCTCAGCGGTCACCAAGGCTGGAAGGCAGCAGGTGCAGAAATCAAGGTGGGGTGCGTATGTGTGTGTGGGGTGTTGCAGAAGTGGGTTGTGGATCAGATCACTTACATGGTGTACAGACCATGGCTGGTTGCATAGACTATATATAAAACTGGACAGATGAATGACACCTCTAGAGCTGATGTGAGGATTAAATGAAACCATGCATTTCAATGATTATTAGAGTGCATTATTTAGCATTAGGCATAGGCATACAGTAGGTGCTCATTAAATGGTGGCCAGTATCATAACTTTTATTTTGAGCCCCAATCCTTGGGAATTGTTTTTAGTCCACTCAACTATTCCATAATATTTGGCTATGATCCTTTAGAAGTGGCCGATTCAAATCGAAAGACACGCAAGACATACTGTCAATCCCTACCAAGGGAAGAAATTAGCAAGTGGATCACAGACATTCAGATCGTAGCGTCTCCCCAGAATTTTGCCTGAATCTTCATTTGCAAAAGGATGTAAGTATTTTCAAAAAGACAGTAAAAACAATGTCTGCAGAGCTGAAAACTCTGCAGTGCTTGGCTCATGGTCAAATTCCAGAAAGATCTGCTGCATGAACTGGTGCGTAAGGAGGGAAGCACTAAAATAAAAAGATCGCTATTTTTTAAATACCCAAACCCATTTATGCCAGGCTTTTGCCTACAGAGTGTAAGTCCATTGAACACCATGCTATTCGCCATTCCCATCCCCCCACCCGGATAGACTGGGGTAAGCAATTAATCTTGAAACCATGACAATTAGACAAGACCACTTTAGACTTAGCAGCTTACAGGACGAGTGGCATTGTTCTAAGGATTATTAAATTACCATTTGCACTTTCCTTGGGTTCAGGGCCAGAAACCCAGCCATGAGCCACTCTGTGTTAAGCACTTTCAAACACAGACAGTGTTGTTCTTTTTCCTGTATGACCTTGGGTGAGTCACACATTCTCTCTGGGACTTAGTTTGCTCATCTGTAAAATGAAGAAGGATAAGGTTAGCTCTCTGGAGACCTTTCTAGCTTCACAGCCCTGCAGTTCTGCAATTCTGAGTTACCAGCGTGAAGCTGTTACCCCCTGGATGGAGGAGACAATGAGAATCACTAGAGCTGTCCAGCTTCCCTGGAGACAGGAGCTGCGGCCCCTTCCCTCATGGGCTGCTCTGGTCATCAGCTGTGTGGGGAGGAGGGCAGCTGTGCCTAGATTCCCTGGTGGCAGCTGTGGATAGCCGGGTCTCATGCCATCTGTCCTCAGTGGTGAGGTTACAGCCTTTTCTCTGCGAGGCACATCTTGCCAATGAACCATAGCACCATCCCTCCGTCTGCACAACTGCACAGTGCCCAGTGGAGCTGTCCCTTCCCAGCAGCTTCAGCTGGTGCAGCTGCAGCTGACTGCTTCCCACCCACCTCTGGGGAATGAGCAGGGGAGGGGTGGAGGGCTGGAGGGGCTGTAGCAGCCCGCTTAGCCATGTACTTCCCTTGGAGTGGCTACAGGGTTGCTTTTGAATGCCTCTAGCAGTGGGATTCTATTTTGTTTTGGCTTTGTTGTCTTCTTTTTGTTTTCAAGTTAGGGCTCTTTGCAATCCTTGTCCCCTACCATGACTGAGACATTCTGGCTGACGCTGTGGCTGGGAATCCAAAGCTTCTGGAGAAGCTCAGTGAGGGCCAGGTTATGGGATACCAGGATACAAGGTAGGTGGGAAGGGAGGGAGAAAGTACAGGAAAGAAGGGGGTGTGGGAGAGGGAAGGGCAGAGGGACAAGGGAGAAGATGCTTCCTCTGCGGGACTGACCATCTGTACTGCACTGGGCTTGGGGCAGCTGCTGACAAATGCCTCGTCATGCTTGCTGTCCATTTGAGTTTCATGCCTGTATCCCAACTAGACCTTGTGCTCCTCCTAGGCAGGAAGCACGTCTCATTCGTGAATCCTTTCTCAGTGTCCAGGAGAACAGTAAGTACCCAGGTAATTGTGGAATGCATGGTCTCATATATTCCTCAGTACTGAATTATAAAATCATTATTTGTTTCTATTGAGTAACAGAGGAAATTAAGGTTCAGCATTGCTAGCTAACTTGCTCAAGTCACGAAGCATGAAAGAGAGCTCATGTCAAAGCTCGTATCCTTGCCACTGTGTGACTGAGGAAAGAAAAAAGGACTGCAGGGCTCAGAGGGTAGTGCATACTTACGGGGGGAGAGGTTATATCAGGAGGGGTGGACATGTCCCCAAAAAGTTCTAATTGGGTCACAGCCTGTAAAGACAAAAAGATAATCATGTTAGCACAAAGGAAAACAATGCGGTTAGGCACTGCTTTAAAAAGAGTATAGCACGAGGAGAAATGTTTCTCTTTGTCATCGTGACTATATAAAAATAAATCTAGTTGGTCATTACTATACCTCACGATCCCAGAGGCAACATCTCAGATGTGGCCAGAATCACTTTTTGCATCAATGTGTCTGGTTGTTTATTCAGGCTTGGTCAAGATTGCCCATTAGCCATCTCCCGGAAGCAATAACGATACAACTTCACAGTCGGTTACCATCAAAAGTCAGTACTGGCCCCCTTCTCCGGGAGATAAAGGCAGGAAAGCAATTCATACATCGGCCTTGCTCACACAGGTGTATCCACATGTACGAGGTGCCTTCCACATGTAAGTATGACAAGACATGACTGACCGGATGGGCATGGCTTACTCAGTGTTCCTGGTAACACCAACCCAACAGATGGGAATCATCAGCCTGGTTTTTGTTTTGTTTTGTTTTTGAGGTCAATAAACTGAATCTCCTAGAGGTTAAATCAACAACATCCAGGGACAGGGTTTGAATTTTCTGCATCCAGAGCATGCAGTCAAATGGCAACCTCTGAGAAAGTCTGTCTATAGGATTTTAAAAAAAATGTGGTTGGAGGAAAAGAAAACATTTCATTCAGTACAAGAAAGGGCATCCAAAACAGCCCAGTATACACACTATCAATCACTCCTAGGAACTCCATCACTGCAGACACGGTATCATCTATCTTCCTTTCCATCAAACGGGAGTGTCTGAGCAAGGACAGTCACAGCAGCCCATGAAACTCTTTAAGATACACTTAGAAATTAATCTGCATACACTTCCAGCTACAGAGACTGTAGGGAGTCCATGACCAGGAACGGAATGCCCTGACTGGATTACGAAAAGCAGATAATCACATGCTTCTGCAAATCTGTCCACGGAGGAAAAATCACTTCCTGCGCATCGCGATTGGTAAGTGATAGCTTCTATTTGGGGAAAGCTAGAAACGCTGCTTCATAGAATAGACACAGGTCGACTGCCCTGTCATGCAGGACCCCCTGTGCTCAAATTCTGCTCTAACTAGCTTGTGGCTGGATTTCCAGGATTCACACAAAGGAGGAGATGTCCTTTCTGACAGCTCTGGAAAAAGCCCACACCTGGGGACAGAGTTGAGCTCTACCACCTCCAGTCTCTGCAGCTCCCTCCTCTGGCCAATGGGCAGGATCACTTCTCCTTTGTGGATATACTGACAGTATTATTAGCTGACTTTCTTTGAAGTGTGGCTGTATCTGGTTAAGAAAAGCCCAAAATCTCTTTTTGCTGAAAGGGAAAAAGCTTAGCTATGTTAACTCACTTTCTTTCCATCTGTGAATTCAGATCGAATAGTCATAGTGCCTAGCACACAGCAGACCCAACTCCATAAACGCTGAAGAACTACGAGGTGCTGGGCACTGTGCTAGGTGCTAGCTAGGAACAGAATAACGAGAAATGCCACGTCCCAGCCTGCAGGGAGCTTATACTCTGGTGAGGATGACTCATAGATGTGGATAATTTCAACTTAATGTGGCAGAAAGGAGACAGAAGTCTCCCTGGGTGCCACAGAACATCCAGAAGAGGAACTGACCAGCTTTTGGCAAATAAGTTAATGGAGGTTTTTCCTCTCTCTCTCTTTCTTTCTCCAGAAATTTTTGCTATGGCATGTGTGTGCTCACCAGAGAACAAGAGACAGAAACAGAAAGTGAGACCCCCCCCCCACACACACACACAGGGGAGATGGCCACACTGCAATCCCTTCTCCATTCTCCTCTTAGGACTTTGGGTATGCATGCACATATGCCTGGCATGAGTTTGAAGCTGCCAGGTCCGGGACTTGAACTATGGTCAGCCATGTGGGAGTCCAGCAGTGTAACCATTATGCCATCTGCTGGCCCCAATGGAGGGTTTTCTAAAGGAAATAGTCTGGACCTAAGTCCTGCAGAAGAGAAGCAGTTAGTCGGGTAACAAGGCAGAGGAGGGAGACTCAGGCAGATGAAACCACACAAGCAAGGTGGATGGGACAGAAGGAGACTGGGGTTAATAGTGTAAAGCAGTTGCACAGGGGCAAGGGGGCTGTGGGACTCGTGTGCATTTAAGTCTTTTCCTCCAACTCTTTCGTCCCGGATGCTCTGTTGTACATGAACAGCCAAGCAGCTGATGGGAATGTGGTGCCCAGCATGCAGAGTGCCCCCCAATCTGGCTGGACTCTAAATGCTTTTCTTGGGTAACACTTCCTAAACACATTAGCGATATTTAATACTATTTGGTGAAATGATGCCAGTCCTTTAGAGTCTCTTCTCAATTCATAAGAGAAATCATTCTATTTAATCAATTTAAATGATGCTTCTGGGCTTCCTTGCGATTAGAACTCGACACTTTAAAAATGGCCCACAACTATTTTCAGTGTTAGGAAAATATTAAAATGAAGTCAATAATTAAGTCACACGATTTACATTTCAAATGTGTTAAACTCGTGCCATACTTTTACCAACATCATAAATATAATTTATTGGCTAATTTTCTCCTTAAGCACAACTTTGAAAATAACCTTCCTTCTTGAGATATAGACTTTGCTCTTGCTAGATGATTTTCGCTCAAGGATTAAACGAGAAAAACATGCAGAGGCATAAAACATAGATTGTTATTTCATTCTATTGGATTTGCTGTTTAAATAGAACCTTGAGTTAATTAAATTTTATAGAAAAAGGAGATTCTTGGGCCATAAAATTAAAAATAATCCTAATAACCATATATGATTGAGAATCTGGAAGAGTATCTATTTTCACAGCCCTCCTTCCCATGGTAACACCAGTCCTTTTATTTGCAACCTAATAAACCATGTTCCATCTGATAATATTGTCCTAATTAATCATTTTAAAGAATAAAATTACAATTCCCATTCGCAAACCACCTTAGAGTTTACAGTCCACCTTCATGCACGTTATCAACGTTTGACACGCGCTGAGCCCTGGAAAGTCAGCAGCTCAGGCATGGCTGTCTCCTCCTGTATTCTTCAAATGAGCAGAGGCTGAGGTTAAGTGATTCGCTTATGATCAGCTGGCTGAAAGAAGCTTGGGTGGACTTGATCTATAGACCAACCAGCACGCTGTTTCTCTAGCTGTCGCTTTAGCAAACCTAGTCAGTCTCACTCTGTGGAGGAGGTCCGGTTCTCCAACACCGCCTAACCAGAAGCCAGCGTTCCTAGGAGGTTTGCCATGATGCATTTCAGGTAGCAGTCATCCGGAATGTCAGCTCGAGATGCCTGCTCTCACAGAATGAGGCCCTTCCAGTGCTGATATTACAAAGGCCTTCCGGTAAAGAGAGAAGCAGCTTTGGAAAGCAGGCTTTGCCCTGTCTTTATGCAGGGGTAAGCAGAGTGACCCTGGAAGTTGTCATGGCCAGGCAAGGAGATACGAAGTAGCAGAGATACAGAGAGCTAGTCACTCATCATTTCCATCAGGCCTGCTCCTCCCAGCCAGCCAGTCTGATAGGAACAGGTGATAAATAAAAGGACTAGAGTGAACATGGGGAGGAGGCCTGGGAAAATAGATACTATACCAGGTTCTCAGTCATATATGGTTATTAGGATTATTTTTAGTGTTTTTTTTTTTTTTTGAAAGGTTTTTGCTATAGGGCACGTGTGCTCGCCAGACAGACAGAGAGAGACAGAGAGATAGAAAGCGAGAAATCACCCCCCGGGGGATGGCCACGCCACAATCCCTTCTCCTCCATTCTCCTCTCGGGGTCTTGGGTACGCACGCACACACGCCCAGCATGAGTTTAAGCCACTGGGTCTGGGACTCAAGCCGTGGTCGACTACGTGGGAATCCAGCGACATAGCCATTACGCTAACTGCTGGTCCCAAGGATTATTTTTAGTTTTATGGCCCCCAGTGTCCCCTTTTCCCAGTAATATCTGGAGTGCTGACATTGCTTTTTCTGGTCCTTCTTCCAAGTAGACAGCTGGAAGACCCCTAGGGCCTTTCTCTAGAGAAATTCTGAAGGCACCATTGATGAAGGCCGAGATGTCATGGCTGACCCCCAGAACATATCCTCATGAATCATTCCCTGTAACCCTTGGGGCAGCAAAGACGTGGGAGCAGAACGAGCTCCTGTGCTAAGAAGGGGCTGCAGAGGCGAGGTAGATAGTTCCTACCCTACTGCACGAGCTGGTTGTTTCATGGAAAGACAGACCCATAGAGACAATCAATACAGTGTTACGGAGCAGAGAAGCACAGGTGGTTACAGGAGAGGCATCTCAGGGCCTCTAGACAACTGCTCTTCCTGGAACACTCATTCCTTTCTCCATTGCCTTTCCCTCCACCCTTTAGGGTGCACATTAGAGAACTTCTTACTTCCTTTTCCTGGGAAGTGTTTTCTAGCTCAAGTTGTACTCCCTCCCTTGGTCCATGTACAAGCAGATCGGTGCTCTCAGCCCTGGGTGCACACTGAATCTCTGGGGGAAATTACCAATGCCTGATTCCCACCCCTACGGACTCTGAATTAACTGATTTGAGGTACAGCCTAGTTTTAGAACTCTGAAAGCTCTCCTTATGGTTCTAATTTGTTTCCAAAGCTGAGGACCCCTGCCCTGGAGGCTTCCCAGTGCCGCGGGTTCAGGGATGCTAATATTCATTGACCTGTGTATCAACCCCAGGAACAAACCTTGGCTGCAACCCAATGCATCCATAGCAGGACCTATTGACTGAGGAGCAGTCTTGCCCGGTTTTCATTCCCAGTGGTAGACTGGGCACATCCTGTTTATGCATATAGATTCCTCCTGCATTACATTATATTAGACCGCACTCGCTTAGGTGAGGCGCTCCTATCCTTCTGTGCTCTGTGCAAAGTTGCTCGATGCTAAACTGCAAGGTTCATAAGGGCAGGGGCTGTGACTTTACTGCATTCCTAGCGTCTTTCAGAATGCCTGGGATATGTAAGAGGCTTGAAAAATAGTTACTGAGAGGAAAAGGTGCTGCCTCCTCCTGGACACACATTCTCTTTCACGCACACACACACGCATACATGTGCGTACATACACTCTCATTATTGACCTCAGGGCAGAGCCACCCATAGTTTTCCAGTGAACATCAGAACAGGCACCAACGAAGCAGAGTGGAGCTCCCACCGTCTATGTACACCCGACGAGGACTGCACAGAATACATGAGAATGACCCAAACAACCCTCATTTGATGAGAACCTCAACGCCTTACCTTTGTTGCCTCAAAAATCTCATCATAGTCCAATGGCAGGTTTCTGTTCTGTAACCACAAGGCACCAGTGATGAGCATGAAATGGGAGGTGGGCTAATGGCATGAAAGAGTTAACCAGATAGGGCTCGCTCGGTCTTACCGGGGTAGCTGCAGCAAAACGCTCTCAAACGGATGGCCGTTCTGAAAGTGTAAGGGATGATGAATGAGGATGAAGTGAATGACACACAAATGACATGGATTTATGAATTTAATGATGATGGTATCTATGGGTTATACTGCCGTGGTCTCGGGAGGTGGGCGCTGTTTCCAATGCCTGTGGAAATCCTGGCATAGGCTTCCACATAAGCAGATGATGAAATATGGGCCTGATTAGGATATATAGCAATGGTCAATTTGCAAGCTTCAAGTCTGTACCACAGATGAAGTAGTCCCCTTTTATCTGTGGGTTTGCTTTCCACAATGTTCACTATTTGTGGTCAACTGTAGTCCAAACATAGATGAGAACAGTACAGTCAGATATTTTGAGAGAGACACCATATCTATATAATGTTTACTACAGTATATTCTTTTTTTTTCTTTTTGGAGAGGTTTTTGCTATAGGGCACATGTGCTCGCCAGACAGACAGAGACAGAAAGCGAGAAATCACTCCCCAAGGGGGATGGTCACACTGCAATCCCTTCTCCTCCATTCTCCTCTCGGGATCTTGAGCACGCACACACACGCGCCTGGCATGTTTTAAGCCACCGGGTCCGGAACGCGAATCACGGTCGACTATGTGGGAGTCCAGCGACATAGCCATTACACTAACTGCTGGTTCCCACTACAGTATATTCTTGCAATTGTTCTTTTTATTAGAAGCTGTGGTTAATCTCTTACTGTGCCTAATTTATAAGGTAGATGCTAGCACTAGTATGTACATACAGGAAAAGCCTTGGTAAATATTTAGGGTTCGTTTCAAACTATCTGTCATTTCAGGCATTCCCTTGAAGTTCCAGAATGTAACTTCTGCAGATAAGGGAGGAGTAATGTTACATGATGTTACAGACAGGACTGAGTCAGTCTCAGTAGTGACTATAGATAAGAGCATGAGGTTTATTCTTAAAGTGTTTTTTGTTTTTTTTTTTTTTTTCAAAATGAAAAAATGTTCTTGTATGCTTTAGCCAAACTTAACTCCTTGGGGCAGTCTGAACAGCTAGTTTTACGTGTTCCTTTTGCGTGTTGTCCTGTCTGTTTTAAATACTCTTTTCCTCATCTCCGCGGGCTCAGTGTTCACCAGATCCCTCAGCCCTAGTTGAAAAGCCACCTCTTCTATGAAGCTTTCCCCAATCCTCTGAGAACATGCATAACAGTAGCTGTGCCTATCATGCTGTAAGCTGCCTTAAGCAGGGACCATGTGGTGTTTGTTCTTGAATCTCCAGCAGCTCACAGAGGATCTGGCACATGGCAGTGCTCAAAAATACATGAATAAATGCATGTGTTAAAAGTAGCCGGCAGTTGGCCAAATCTAATTGTTTTAACTTTTTTTTTTTTTTGCTTATATTACATATTATGGATCATAATAAAAGTATATATACATATATACAATATCTAAGTTGCACATGTATTTTAATGACCGTGTTTTGGTCTACATGTACAAGCTAATGTTCTTTGACTGAGTTCCAAGTAGTGTAACATTAATATAAAACTGCTACTGCTGACACATTAAAATTAAGTTACCGTGCATGAACAGAAGTGAATGCATCATTTCCTAGTTTTGAAGAACTTCATGTTGGTAATGGAGGACTGGGAAAACTATCACCCACAGTCTCACAACATTGCCCATTCACCAGAAATGACTTTCACCTTGTCTGTTCAAAGCTTGACTGTTACTTCCCTCAGCCTGGTTACAGGGTGCAGAGCAACGTGGGAGAACGAACCGGTCCCTGCCCACTAGGACAGGGCTTTCAAAACAACCATCAATGAATCCTGTATCAACCACCTGTTCCCACCAGGCCTTGGCTTATGGCTCAGCTGTGGCTACAATGAGAAGAAAAGCTACTACATCAAATAGCCACATAAGTTGTTATTATTATTACTGAGTTTTAGCCAGGGTAAGGGGAAATGGAGACACAATATTAGTCTAAGTGATCCTGCAATCTATGGTGTGGCCTAAAAGGTTAAGGTTATGTCACTACATCTTTTATAAATCCACACACTCCTAGGGATTTATGGCGGAGCCCCTACCAACTAGCTCTGGGTCATAACTTTTAATAAAAACATTTTTTAGTGTCCAAAATCTCATTACATCTGTCCAATATAAAAAAGCAAATGGCTTCGGAGCATGATGGATGAATTAAATAAATTTGAAAAACAGCCTGTGGTAGTGTCTCATAAAAACCCCCACCATGTCCCATATAATGAAAATGTGGGAGGATAACCGGCGTTGGCGTGGGCCTGTCACCTTCCTGGTGACAGAAGAGGTGGCCTTTGGTGACATGTGGATGGCGGTGTGATGAGACGATTTCTGTACATTTAGATGAAGCTTGGTCTGGGACACGAACAAATGCATCTCTCTGTAGTCACCAGGATATGGGCCAGCCCTGGCTGTGCCATGTGCCAGCCATGGAAGCCTGGATGAGTCAGCCAGCCTCAACTGTCTCCACTTTAAAGTGAGCTTGGTAATAATGACATCATCTCAGGTTTACTGGGAAGAATAATTCACGGTCCTTGCTATCCTAAGCTCGGAGCAGAGGCTCGATGTATAATCGCTGCAGCCGAGGGTGGCTTGGAGTGGGATAGGGGGTCCCACTCTGTAATGTGTATGCAAAACCTAGTTTGGTGTTTGGCATAGTAGATGCTCAGTAAATGATGGTCCTTATTAATTTCTTACACTATTTTAGGGTCATTTTAGAAATGCACATGTACAATTTTATTTTTTTTTTTAGTTAGGTGATTATTATTTAGTGATATTTAGAAATAGAAAGAGGAAAGAAAAATCTTGGCAAAGGCCCATCTTTAGAAATCACCTCCACCAGAAAATAAATAAATAAATAAATAAATAAATATTAAAAAAAGGGGGAACCAGCAGTTAGCTTAATGGCTATGTCGCTGAACTCCCATGTAGCCAACCACAGTTCAAGTCCCGGACTCAGTGGTTTAAAACTCACGCCGGGCACATGTGCATGCATGCCCAAGATCCCAAGAGGAGAATGGAAGAGAAAGAATTGCGGCGTGACCATCCCCCCAGGAGGTGATTTATCGCTTTCTGTCTCTCTGTCTCTGTCTGTCTAGTGAACACACGCACCCTACAGCAAAAACCTCTCCCTCAACCCCCCCCCAAAAAAAAGAAAAAAAGAAAAAAAGAAAAAAAAATAGAAACCACCTCCACCAGAGAATGCAGGACAGACCCAGGGTAAAAGGATGTCCAACACTTCCTGGATTTCCAAGCCTTTGTCCCAAAGCCCTCAATCCATTCTTAATTCCATCTTCTCTATTTGGCCTTGCTGCTGCCTAGAGTCTTGCTGGATCATCTTCTTACCATCCCTATTCTTTGTACCTGTGGTAACCTGACTGTTCTGATCCCGGCTCTGTCATTTCTCAGAGTTCCTTCCTCCTGTCTGGGACAACCTTTGGTAACACCCAGTGCACTTTATACCAATGGGGAAATCTTCTACCCTTTATACTTTGTCCCAGGTATTTCTTATGAGCAGGACCTGAAACCCATTCCCTAGTCTTCCCATATGTCTGACTCTTGCTTTACCCATGATTACCATTAGACTTCCAATTCATTCATTTCAAGGCCTTCTTTTCTACTTATGGACACATTTTTTTTCATACCAACTCTCATAACATGCATGCAGCACTGCATTCTGCTTTTAAAAACCCAACATGATGTTAAAACTTACAACTTAAGCTTCCAGTGAGAGAATTTAAAAGAAGACATCTCCCTGTGTTGTTTCAAAACAGGTCTAGCCTGAATCTTCATTAAGATATTGCCATAAAGTTTTTACAGGAAGATACTCTTTCAGTGATCTTTTTGGAGCAGTGGGAACACTATTGTTGCATAACCAAGTAAGGTATCCAGTAAAACCAGATTTGTGTTACTCTTTTCATTTGCTCTAAGGTACGTGCACTTGCAAGAGACAGACAGAGACAGAAAGAGAGAGGGATAGTGAGAAAGCACTCCCAGAGGGGGTGGTCACACTGCAATCCCTTATTCTCCAATCTCCTCTCGGGATATTAGGCATATATACATGTATCTGGTGTGTTTTTCAAGCGTCCCGGGTCTGGGATCAAACATGCTGTTGGTCACATGGAATCCAGCCACTTTTACCACCATGCCATGGGCAGGCTCTCAGATTCATGTTACTCTCGCAACAAATATGATAACGGATGACACGGGACTTGGGATGAAAACATTAAAAAGAATAAAAACTTACTGGGGGCTTCCAAATCAGAAACTTGCAGCAGTTCTCACCCTGGCTGAACAGTGTAAACCTTTGAGCGACTGTGATGCCTGAACCCCACCACCAGAGATTGGAACTCTATTGGTCTGGCATCATTAGGTTTTAAAAGGCCCATCCCCCGGGTGAATCTAATGTGCAGTCAGATTTGCAAATCACGAGACCAGCAATTGGCGTAATGGTTATGTTGCTGGACTCCCATGGGGTCGACCACGGTTTGAGTCCTGAACCTGGCAGCTTAAACTCACGCCAGGCGTGTGTGCGTGCGTACTCAAGATCTTGAGAGGAGAATGGAGGAGAAGGATTGTGGCGTGGCCATCCTCTCTGGGGGGTGATTTCTCGCTTTCTGTCTCTCTGTCTCTCTGGCAAGCACACGCACCCTATAGCAAAAACCTCTCAAGAAGAAAAAAAGCAGATTTGCAAATCACTGCACTGGGGAATGAACCCTCTCGATAGAAGTAACAACTGAAGAATGAATGAGAAAACCAAAGGCATCTTGACTGATGATGTCGTTGAATAATTTCTTCCACAAACATTCACCGAGTGCTTTCCACATGCCCTGTCCTGTCCTGGCTAGGCATGGAGGACACCTAAGTGAGTAATTC